GGAGCATGTTCATTTTGTCACATTGCTTCAATCTGAGAGATGCAAAAAAGGAAACAAGTCAATCTATAACCATAATTATAATTTTCTTCTCATTGATTGCTCAGAAGTCTTCAAAGGCACCTTCATTAATTTAAAGTTTCTGTGCAAAATATTTAGGATTTAAAAACCCTTTCCTGGGAGTGGGGAAACAAAAATAAAATTTGTTCAGTGTGGACAAGTTAGAATGTATAGTGATGTCTATAGTAAATTCTACAAAGGCTAATAAAACCAGAAAAGAAATTCTCATTCTAAAATATGCTAGGAGTTTTGTTGATTAAGTACTACAAGAAATGACCATATGGCCATTTTTTATTAGAAATGTGATAGACTTATCAGATGACAGCTGTACATGAGTATTTATTATTAGGAAGCCAATAAAAACTTATACTAAATTAGTGCAGTTCAGCTTGTCTGCTCTCTACATATGAGACATTGTGCCTTGAAATTTATTTATTTATTTATTTATTGCAACATATTGCCAATACAATGTTAACTTCACAACTATTCATACATGTTGTTTGATATTTTTTAACTTGAATTTACAATATCAACAGCCTTTTTTTGTCCTTAAATGCAGTATAAATTGAGAATAATGATGTTTGCCACAAGTTTCTGCATTCATGGCATAATTTTAATCTGATTTTAAATTGTATCTGGCTAAAACATCTTGTCGAATTTTTGGACTTCTTTTTCTCTTTTTTTTTTTCAAACTTGCCTTTTGAAAAATTCAGAAAAATGGACATCTTACATATCATTGGAATAATTTTGAGTAGTCTTAATTAAAGAGTTGTTTTCTTATGGGTGTTGTATAATCTTATTAGTTCTGTTTTTTAAAAATTAATTACTTAATAGAAGGTGGGTTTTTTGTATATATTATTAGGTAATTATTTTCTCAGTAGCTAAATGGAGAGCACAGTTATCCAGCATTTTAGCAACAGCAGCATTTTTATAACTTAATAGAAAACTAAGTTGGTAGATGACCTTCCTTCAATTAAATAATGCAGTACTTTCTGATTTGTTCCACAGAAACAATGAAAAAGATTACTCTTGTTTCTTCCAAATCCAGAATAATATGCTACTGAATTAACCTTTATTTTCAAAGCCATGTAATATTAAAAACACTTCAAAGTCCTATGTCTGTAGTACGATGCTCCAGATTAAGTGGTTTGATGGTAGAATTAATGCAAAACATCAGTGGATTCCCTATTCAAGTCTTTATGTTTTGAATCAGAGTTTTAATCTGCCTTTTCATTTCCGTAATACCATTATAATTGTAAAGCCTTTCAACACATAACAGTTTGTTACATACTAATCATGTTGGCAACAAGGGAACATGCTCTATTATGATTAAAAACTGCTAGAAATCTATTTCCTTATTAATTAACAGCAAGCCCTGTTGTTCCTATGGAAACATTAAGATTGTGCAGTATTTCAGATCTGATTCCCAAAACATGCTTCAGAGCGCATGTGAACTTGAATATTGCACTTACTTGCAACTTAAAAGCAGCCAAGTCTATACAGAAGTGACAGAGAGCAACTATTGGCTGGATGCTTGGTGGACGGGAGGAGTAACTTTATATAGATTACATAGTAAAAGGGAACTCCTTCCCTCTTTTAATTCTACTTTCCATAGCCATGATAAATCATTTAGATAAGAATGACGAAGAGAGTTTATAATGGTAGTGGAACTATATGAACTGCATTCTTCTTTGATTTTGACGTTGAAGGAGCATAATATTGGCAGAAGCTTACATTCTATGGTGGCAGCATGGCATGGAGTGGAAGCTATTTAATATTTCATAAAATGAATTTTATGATTACACAAGCTTATGATCCATAAGATAGAAGTAAATTCCAAAACATCCGAAAGGTTTTCTTTTCTCATTGTTGTTGTTCATCTAACAATAAAAAACAAAACAACCAAGGTTGGCTTAAGTTAGATGGGTTGATTAAATTGTTTGATGATAGTATGAAAAAGGCTAACAGGAAATTACAGAGCTATTCACATCCAGGAGCTCATCTTCAGAAAGTGTGTGTATGTGTGTGTGTGCGTGTTTATCTTAGATCAATAAGCCAGTATTCTCAAAGGTGGAGCCACCCAAATATATTATTCTGACTAAAAACATTGGGAGTTGTACTCAATTATATGTGAAGAGTTTGGAGAAGACAGTTGTAGATAATGAAGAAGTAAAATATCTCCATCCTCACACAAGACCTGGCTGGATCTCAATAAGTCAAGCAAGGCCAGACCTGGTTAGTATTTGAATGGAAAACATTCATGAATACCTGACTGAAAAGTCAATAACAATAATAATAATAACAAATCAACTAATGCACAGCATGGCTGCAGTTATAGCTGAATACTTGGGATGCAAAATCAATAAATAAAAAAAGCAAACAGTGCACCACCAAATTGGAAAATCAGATTTGAAAATAAGATGCAAACAAGCTAGAACAGATGACAAAAAAGAAAAACAAAAAGACCAAAGAATATCTGATCAAGAAATATCACCTAGCAACAAGGAAAATCAGAGAAACAATAGAAGTAGTAAAATTGGGTAGATGCACAAATGAATGGCAAAATTGGTTCTGTGGGTTTACTGTGGGACTGTTATATTTCATCTGACCTTCACCTGTTCTCTTGTTCTTTAATTCCCTGGTACCCTGGCTTCCACAACCCACCCTTCCTTCCCTCCCTGTTGATTGATGAAATTCCACTATAGACAGACAGTCTTCTGGAAAAAAAAATGAAACCAAAAAAAAAAAAAAGGTCAATGTTGCTTTTAGCAGATGTAGCACTTTTTGCAATGTTCAAAAATATTAAATAATTTGTGAAACCTCCTAGACGATCCTAATATGGTTTGGATCACTTTAGGAGAATACTGCTTGCATTCTGTTTTGTGGTGTCACAGACTACTCCAAATTTAAATTTTAGGTGAATTCTCAGCCTCCACTTAATTCAGGCACCAGAGAAATCCTTTATTTCTCTATATGTTTGCTCTAGGATTCTATCTTCCTGTGCCCTTTTGAATGCTATAATAAGCAGACCCCTAAAGAAGCATGATTCTCTGCAAAAGCCTGATTTAGTCTTTCTATCTCACATTAGCTATATACATTTAAACATATGCATTGTTTTCGCAGCTCATTTTTTCTTTTCTCTTTTATATAATATATATCAAGAAAATTCCTTGTGAGATTCATGTTGCATTCTAGAAAATATGCCTGAAATCAGCATTTCTTAAACCTGTCTTTGATCAACAAAAGTCCCATAGCAAATTTTCAGAATTTATGTGAAACAAACCTTGCCCTTCTTGTGTCAGTTATGTTTCTTAAAAAAAAACAAAAAACAGAGCAGCCTTCAGATTCAGAAAAGAATCTGCTGCATCTTTCTAATGCAGGGCTGTCAAACTCCCAGCCTGTGCACTGGATGCATCATGCACTGGCCACGCCCATGCCTGGTTTAGTGAAAGGGGAAAAAGTCCTGATGCTGTCATGCCGCCATGAGTTTGACACCCCTATTCTAATGTATTTAAATCTAGTGCCATATATGAAGGGGCAGGAGAGAGAGAGGTGGGGAGTGAGAGATAGAGATCCAATGAGATTCTCCTGCTTCTGTTTTGGCATATTGTAGAAGGCATTCTCAGCATGAAAAATATCATATTGTTTAATACAGTGGTTAATGTTTAAGGAATCAATGAGGGAGGAGGATAAAGAGGAGGAGATTGTTTACCATCAAGAATGTAATTGAATTAATATTCATTTATTACCTTTATATACCTTTCATTTAGGCAGTGGTATTTTCTCTTACATTATATCTAGCACACCTCAAAGCTAAAAAAGAAAAGAAAAGGTAGCAAAGATGTTTATTATCTATCCATAACAGCAATATCAAAGTTTCTATTTTCAACATATAATGGTGAAAGATTGGGAATCCATAAGGGAAAAGAAGAATAAAAGTCCATCATGAACATGATTTAATATTTATTCTTTAGATTTATGTGGCACATTTCATTCAGGAGCTAAAGGCAACATGTATTCTGCATCGGCACTATGTGTAGCACTCCATCCTATTTTTCACCATTACAACAGTCCTGTGAGGTAGGCTGAGTTGAGAGAAAGTGACTGGCCAAAAGTCACACAGTAACAAAGAGTGGTCCTAGTTCAAGTTCTTCACTATCTTACTCCATTGGAATCTACCACTTACAAAGTTTTATTGCCCTGTGAAAAATATTTGTTTGTTTTCTTCGTCTTCTAGAACTTTTCAGTGGTTTGAGATTTTTTTTATTGGTACAAGCTGATAGAAAGTGATGACTGACATGCCTCATGGGCCCGGCAAGCAGAACAGCCTCATAGGAACCTGGATTAAGTTTGAGAAATGATTGTACAATGAAAATGGAGTCACACTCATAAAGAACCCTAATAACCATGGAGGTTCAAATTCCTGGCAAGACATAAATGAAATTTTTGTAGAATTTTTCTTGCCTTTGAAAAGTATTTATATCTTCCTTTCTACTGAATGAAAAATATTTTACAAAGTCAAAGACATTTACAGAGTGGCTCCAGTTGAAGTGCCAGATGCAGGCCTTCCAAGCTGTTAAGATGGATTCATCTTTCATTTTTCAATTCCTATATTCATTAAAAGAAAATAAATCACCTATTCCTTCTGAAAGAAGAAGAAACATACACCCATTGGAAAGTTGGAAATCAAACTGAATGAAATTCTCAGTCATCCCTATTTTGGAATAAGAGAAAACGTAAAAATATATTTTCAGCTCATTCTGCTTAGTAAAGGTAACATGTCATTTAGCTTCTAGAAATAGTCTACAGACAGATATCAAAATGCTCTGTGCAAACATTCATTCATACTGAGCTGTGATTTAATAATATAAAGTTATAGATACACTGTATTGACTTTTATTGACAGTTATAATACTTCTATTTTCTTCCTTTTCTGCCCTTAGCCCCAGAATGCTTTCCAGAAGGACATCGTATTCTCCATCATGCCTACCGCAGCATCCATTTTGATTCTCTGGAATTGCAGGAAAAAGCCATTCAGGACATGATTTGTGATCATTCACTTCCACAAGGGTGGTACCGCTTCATGATTGAAAATAAACCTGCAGAAATGCCAACCAAGTGTATAGAAGTAAGTCAGATAAAATGAAATGGAATGAAATGCGCGCTCTCAATAAGTCTTTCATAAACCCAGGTTCTCCCTAGACATTTTGAGCTCTCTCAGCCTTACAAAAATTCCCATCAACTCCCAGAACCCTTAAACCTCTCCTATAATATTTAGGATTTCTGGAGTGACAGACCCAAACAACCGATAGGCACCAGACTGGAAAAGGCTTTTTTTGAGTACTTGAATGGCACCATCTTGCCTCAGATGCATTCTTCAACCTTAATTAATGGGTACAGTACATTTAAAAAGAACAATGTATGATTAGATGCACAAAGGAATTTCCTCATCCAGGGAACAGCTTGATATACTTATACAGGTCTAATCAAATTTGTTTCTTTTATATGCAAATGAATTCACCTCATGCTTTCTGAAGCTCAAAAGAATTCATTTCACAGGCTGAAGTATTATTAATAGTTCAACACTTCTACTGTATTATAGCTCAAAACTGTTACTGACATGTTTTGAGCCATATGAAATATGTGGTTGGATTAAGTGTGAAGCAATTCAATAACCTATTTTTTATTTTCATTTTTTTTTTGGCCCGGAAGTTTTTAAATAATGCATTATCTGCCGCTGGGAAAGTAGGTAATTCAAAATATATTGGGCATTTTCTTGATGGAAAATCTTCAGCAGCTCTGATCAATGACTTAAAGGTTATAGCACCTTTGAGGTTTTACGTCTTTGATGTATAGCTTCTTGATTCAAAATAAATAATATATTGCTTTGCTTCTTTTACAGATAACTTTGTAATTCAAAAGAAATAATAACTTTCTAATTCAAAGCACCACCTCACCTAAAAAAAAACCTTAATTTAAACCACAACATGAACTAGGATTGAATTTGAAATAAAGAAGTTCTGATTTTAAAAAATAAAATAATAAAGCTTATTTAAAAAGCAATTTTAATTAAAAACCATATCTTTAAAATATTTTTTTCATGTTTGTGTTCTTAATTCCTTGGCCTTTTTGTGATAATTTTAAACTGTGTAGGTTCAACAAATTGAGCTAAATTTTACACAAAGTAAATGATCCTGATTATGTTTAAAAAATATTCAATTTTAAAGCCATCTCACAGCAGTGAGTCTGTGGGTTATAAAGATTACAATCATCATCATAATACTATGACACCCCAATGAAAATAAAAATCCCTAAAACAAAAGGCCTTATTCCCGCCCTCCCCCCCCCCCCTTCAACAGAGCTAACAACTTCCTGAATAAACTTAAAAATATAAATAACAAACATTCCTTGATATCAGCTGAAGAAAAATTCTGGAATGTAGGATGATTTCCTGTGAGCATTTGAAATTGTCACGCCGAATTTAGAATAATCTGTGCAGCTCTTGTGACCTTAAAATATGTAAACACTAATCTAACACTTAATGTAATAGTTCCCTTCTAGAAAAAATCAAAATAGCCCTATTAACATTATCAATTTGTTGACTGTGTGTATATTTCATGACTAATAAAATTCAAGGTATAGTTAATCAGTTATCCCTATGATTAACAAAAAAAATCACTTTGTTCGTAAACTGAAGCACTGCTGGTGGGTAAAAGTGCTTTATTTACTTACTAAGTATGATTCCTGTTATGATTCTTTGCAACAAGATATAATAGGCTACCACATGATCCAGATGGGTTCCAATTATTTGAATATTACATATACAAATGTACAGATATATGAACTGAGCTTCATATGATTTCAGATGCATCATAAGCAAGGGTGGGATTCTACCAGTTTGCACCTATTTGCTAGAACCGGTTGTTAACATTCTAAGCAGTTCGGAGAACCGATTGTTAGAAGAAATTACTGGCCTAATCCTGTAAGGAAGGCAGGAAGGAAACATTCTGGTGTTGCTTACAGAAACTGCCTCTCCGTTAACCCTTATTACATTCTTGGCAGGACTGGACTTCCTGTCTCAGGAACTTCTCTGGAGTTTTTTTCCCCTCCTTTGCTGGTACTTTGCTTGTGTGGAGTGACCATTCAAAGTTACAGTGGCACTGAAAAAAGTGTCTTATGATCATTTTTCACACTTATGACTGTTGTAGCATCCCCACAGTCATGAGAGGCCAGGCGAGGAGATGCGTGCCTCAATGTAAGTGATGTTGAGTTGGCCACACCCACCCAGTCACATGACCACCAAGCCATGTCCACCCAGTCACATGACCACCGAGCCACGCCCACCACCTAAGCCATGCCCACAGAAACAGTTGTTAAAAAATTTGAATCCCACCCCTGATTATAAGAACATGTATACAAGCTTGCTTCCTCATCACACATACGTGATCTCTATCTGATGCATTCATGATTGTTTTGTGTTATAAATATTTCATATCATTCATCTACTAAAACTTCTTCAGTGACTATTTTGAAGGCAGTGTGAAAGCAGTTATTCTTTCACTTCTACTATTAAGAATCTTTCTTCATTCAGAAATACCTTGCAGTGCTATGGCATTAGGATCTATGTGTTATCAGAAAAAAAAATATAGATGCTAATTGCTACTTAACTCAATAAAGAGAAATCCATTAGAGCTGAACCAAATATATGCAGCAGAGTTAATAATATCTCATTTAAATTATATTAATCCAACTATTCCAAATGTTAAATTTGCCATAATTTTTCAAGCCTTTTCAAGCTTTGCAACCTCATATTTCAATAAGAATTAAAATGAATTAGGAATTGAAATGGAAACGGCTGGTCACATAGCAAGATGGCAGGTGGACCAAGGCAGTCATAGAATGGATCCCACTTGATAAAAAGTGTCCACGAAAGAGACCTAAAACAAGATGGATCGACGAGATCCTCAAGAATTGTGGGCACAATTGGCCAAAGGAAACTCAGGAAGCATGCTGAAGAGGCCTTCATCCTTCAGTGGATAGACAATGGCTAAAATGATAATGATGATGATTTTACTAACATTTACTGGAAAACTAAATGAATGAAATGTATTGAAATATACATTAATGAATATATCATATGGTCAGGACATGTGATGCTGAGTCTGAGATATTGTTTACTTTTCAATTAATTTAAACAGAACATTTAATATGTGAGGCTCTAAACAGCCTGTAACCAACAGCCTGGAAAATAGTGAAGGTAAAAATCAAAATAAAAGTTAATAATGTTTCTGCTTTCGTATTCTTGCTGCCATATTCTGTACTAATACAAGTTTCTAAACTCTCTTCAAAGATAGTCCTGCCTAGAGTGCTTCGGAATAAAAACAGAACTATGTATCATCTGCATACAGGCAATCCTCAGTTTATGGCCATTCATTCAAAGTTACAGTGATGCTGATAAAAGTGACTAATATCTGATCATCATACTTATGATCATTGCAGCATCCCTGCAGTCATGTAATCAAAATTTAGGCCCTTGGCAACCAGCATGTATTTACAACAATTGCAATCCTGTATGACAGGAAGGTCATACAGGGATTCCAGTAAGTAAAGCCAGCTGGGGAAGCCAGATTCACATAACTATCACAGAACACAACAACAACAAAAAAGATCATTACTTTTTTGACTCTCACGACTCATTTAAAGGCCATATCGCTTAGTGACAGAAATTCTAGTCACAATTATGGTTGTAACCAGTGGTGGGATTCAAATTTTTTTACTACCGATTCTGTGGCCGTGACTTGATGGGCATGGCATGGCGGGCGTGGCATGTCAGTGGAAGGATACTGTAAAATCTCCATTCCCACCTCACTCCAAGGGAAGGATACTGTAAAATCCCCATTCCTTCCCCACCCCACTAACCTGCTTTCCAGCTCTGTTCTCATGTGCAGGGCAACAAAAGAAGACCCAGCCAATCAGCTGGGACTCGTAAGGCAGAGGATAGATGGGGGTGGAGCCAGTCAGAGGTGGTATTTTCTGACTCTCTGAACTACTCAAATTTCTGCTACCAGTTCTCCAGAACTGGTCAAAACCTGCTGAAGAGCACCTCTGGTTGTAACTACATATACATCATTTTCTGGGCCAGAGGTACACAATGTTTTTCCAGGCATAAGAAGACTAGTAATCAGGTGGCACGCAAGGATCATACTGGATCAAATCAAGGATTGGAACATTTTCCTCCCTCCATAGATCATTGTACCACTCAGAATTATGAAGTATAAACTTGTTAGAAAATGTTTATATGAATGGTTTGTTAAATTAAATTAATTATGTTTGTATTTTAAACCACCTAAAGATCCTTTGGCACATAATGCATTTTATGTGGATTGCATTAAAACTGTTGACACAGACAACAGCAGGGTTACCTCATCGTTCCCTCTGGAAAGGGGTGAGGAATTTTTGAGTGGAAAAGCCTCACACTGATATGAACAAATGCAAAAAAGAAAAGACATATTTAAATACCAGCAGCACCAAGAGCAAAGGGATGAAGCATAGTGAGAAGGTTAATATTTCATGACCTTAAACTCTTCCATAATAATACTCTGTGAATCTTAAATGACATTCCCAATTTGCCATTTCCCATTAAAATAAACATCAACTTCAAACAAGTTTGCTTTTCAAACAAGGCCTTAACAAGAAATTAATTTAGCATGTCAAATTGTTTGATATTAATTTTGCCTAACTCGTTATTCTCAGTGTTCAGGGAGCCTTCCAGTGTATGAGCTAATTTGTGTCTTTCTTGGCATGCCATGTAAACTTTAGCTGACAGAACTGCAGTGAAGCAAACCTAACTTACAAGAGACCCCAATCTAACCCTGTTGTCATACAAGAGCCATTTTTCAAATGCTACAAAAGAGCTGCTGCAACTCCTTAAGAACTCTGGCAAAATTGTGCAAAAGAAAAATACATAACTTCTGTTACATTTTTTTCAAACGTTACACAGCACTCAAATTCAGTGGCTTTACTATAGTTGTGCATCATTTTACTTATCTACACTTACAATGATAACTGTTAACTCTAGAAATATTTGATCATCGGTTTTTGAAAGCTGAAAATGAGCCACTTACATCTGTTTTCATGTGTATATTTTGCTGAGAGAAGCCCATATATATCCCACTTTGTGCTAGGATTTTTTTACTTTTCTTTTTTAGCCCATTAGTCAATTTTTTTTCAAGCTCATTTGAAACTTTCAATACATCTGTTGAGAAGAAATGTTCACCAAACAACAGAATCTTCCTTCCCAGTGTAAGATTATTATTCACAAAGACTGAATGCTTCTAAGTCAGCAATGGCTCAAGTGTAACTGATTACAGCAGTACAATAGACATGGTAAAAATGTGCAGTGAGGATCAGAATATTTTTCTTTCAAAAAGCAGCATAGATTCCAATGAGGTGTCATTTGTGAAGACAGGAAACATCACTGAGGTAGGATTCACATATCATAGTAAGCTAAGAGCTACTTAATCATGGCTTGTATATTCCCACATTTTCTCCAGGAGCTCAAGACAGCACACTTTTTTCTTCTTCCATGCAACAATTCTGAGAAGTAAGCTGGGCTGAAAGAATGAAGAATGAAGCCCAGAGTCAACCCAAACTGCTACTGTAACTGAGGGTAGATTTGAACATAGCTCCTCCAATCCTGGTCACACAAATTAATAATAATTGGTAGGGTTCTGAGAACAGGTCAAACAAAGAAAAACATTTACAATCTAAGACAGGGATGTCAAACTTGTGACGACATGTTGTCATCACATGACGTATCACAACTTTTTTCCCCTTCACTAAACCAGGGGTGGACATGGCCAGCACGTGATGCATCTGACCTGCGGCCCGTGAATTTGACGCTCCTGATCTAGAATGAATAATCTAAAATAAATTATATAATCTCTTAGTATTGGAAGCATTCTATATTCTGCAATCAGAGTTGTCATATTGTTCAGTTGACCAGGCTTTAACTTGGTTAAAGCTATGAAATTCCATATATATTTGCATTATTACCTTACATAATCTTGATATTGGATTCCTAGCCTTTTCTTCCAAATAGTGCAAGTTTCTAGCTGTTACAGAAACTTTCAGTATATAAGGCAGAATGTACAGGAATCTTTAACCAATATCAATCATAGCTATTTATAGGGAGAATGAGACAGTAATAGTGATTATCTGAGAAAAAATATATCAGTTTTTTCCCAAATGATTCAGGAGAAGTTGCTGTTGAGCATAGCAAACAAATGAGAAATCATGTTAATCTTTTATAATATTTTATCATTGATTCTGGTATTGATGAGGAGCTAAATGAATAAAGGACAGGGTGTCTAATCTGGGATCATAAAAATAATGGTTTAGATTACTATTTTAAAAGGCAGAAAATAAGAGTAAATGTGTTCTATAAATAATACAGGCAAAAACTTAGAGCAGTAACCATCCTCCATTATGGTAAAAAGCTGCAAAGCGTTTAAAGTTAATTTAGTGTTGTCTCTAGAGTATGGCTCGAATCATTTACGATAGTTTATATACAGAATTTTTAGTGTCTAATTTAAGATAAGTAATATTTGCTCACTAAAAGAAATAGTACAGTTTTACAACATTGAAACAATGTTATAGTCAAGATGTAATGTTATAGTCAAGGCTAGTGTATATTGCATTAGTCAGAAATGTCAGAGCTATGTAGAACAAACTTGATAAGTGTGCCCTTTTGCAGTTTAAAAGTGTTCTGCATTAAAGGTTTCTTCATATTGTTGCTGTTGTTTCAGAACATGTGTAGAGTTTACTGAAGAGAGGAAATGATTTGCTTTGAGGAACAAAGAGTTTCTTCATCGTTAACTGACTTAACTGGGCTCCTAAACAGAATTCTATTCTGATGTTGCTGGAGATAGAGCACCATAGTCCAATTTGTGCTAGAACCTGACTGGTAAAAGCTGAATCACTGGTCAGACCTGATGAGAGAATGTCATTTGGGGATCAGCCCCTTCTGTCTTTTTTTTTTTTTTTTAAATTTATTTGAGTTTTCACAAAGAGAAAAAAAATACAAATAAAACATCTTTTTTGAAAGCAGCATAATCCCGGGTTACATTTCTTCATACAGACACAAATTCAGGTTCATGTTCATTTTTATATTCTATTCCATATCTTATTACTATTTTACATTTTCTACAATTTTATTTTAATTATCTCATCTCAATTCAAATCATTGTATTTATATTTTTTGTCTGTCCTGTTTCAATCATCTATTATCTTTTCTCATTAAACAAAATTTCTCCTGTAATTACTGATTGGAGTATGACGCCTTTATATCTTTTCCCTAAAGTTGTAACATTCAATATAATACATAACTTCCATTCGGATTCTGCTTGGTACATTCTTAAAATACACACTGTATTCTTAAAAAAAGAAAAAAATTATAAATATATATAATTAAAACAACGTTCCATTCCAATTCAATTCTATCATTAATATTAATATTCATTAAATCTTAACATCTTTAACATTACTTTTCAATTAAATATCATACTTCTATGGGAACAATTATAAGCTTTCCATAGTTAATTCCCCCCCCTTCACTTATATTTTATAAAACATTAACTAATTAAAATGTTCCCGTTCCTTCCTAATTCAATTTTCTCGTTTATTTTATTTCACTTATTTTATTCACAAACATTTCACTAAATTACACTAACTATTTTATCCCTCATTTTAATCATACGTTTCCAATTTTCTAAAGTTATTTCTATTACTAATATAACAATACAATCTTATGTACCTTTACAGAATCCCTTTTTCAGTTAGATTTTCACCCATTATCTCTAAATAGGTCCTGTTTCTCTATATCTTGCCCCGGTCCTTTGTAACTTCTTTTCCTTTCCTTCTTTCCTCTCTTCTTCTCTCTCCCCTTTTTACCGCCTTGTCTCTCTACCTCTATTTCTCTCTTCTGTATTCCCCCTTTCTGTTGCTTTCCAGTATTATACTTATTTTTCGAATTATTTTTCTTTTCTTTGGTTGTTTTTTTAAGTCTTAAATTCTCCATTCTCTTTCCCCCCCTTTCCTTTTTCTTCCCCATATAGAATTACTTGTTCATTAAAGATGGCTTCTTCTTTGTCCCAGTCTACTTGTTTTGCAGTCTTTTCTTGTTGTTTCTCATAGTTCCAAATCTCCATTTCTAAGAATTGAAAAATGAAGCCAAAAGAACCCTTCCCTTCTTGTGCATCTTCTTTGTACTTTTTAAGTTCCATTTTCAATTCATCCAGAAGTGGTGCCATTGTATAAATTTTTAAACAACCACCCGATTGATTTTAGTCATTCAAATATAATAACCAAGAATCCAAAGATCACGAAATAGTCCAAATACACGCAAGCTGTTTCTTTTTTGCTCTTTTTTTTCCACTTTCTCTTCCTGGGGTTACTATTTAGTTGCAAAGTTTCAGTTAAAATGTATCTTTTAGAAGTCTTGTTGAAGTTTTACTGTAGATTCTTTTTAATTCCAGGCAATCTCCTCCCTCTTCCAGATCCTGCCCTTATTCTTTTTCTCTCCCTTCCTGCTTATGAAAAAAAAAGTTTTTAATGTCCAGAAATCTTTATTATCCCTTTGGCATTTTGTTTTATTTTCAGCTTAATTGCCTATTGATGTCAAAGCGGATTTTTCCAATTTCTTATTTAAGTCTTTTAGTTGTCGGTATAGGGAAGGAGAGAGAAGAGAAAAAAAAAGCCAAACCTTTCCCTTTTCACTTTCCTTCGCTGCTTCTGACTCTTCTTTGGGAGCGATGTTATTTTTTGTAAGTTTAAATTCCAGGGTACCTTGGTTGTTGCTTTTACAACTTAACCCAGTCAGCCAAAACTTTCACTTCTTATCTTCCTCCTGAACATTCTTTTCCGGTCGAGTTCTTCTTTGTGGCCATTTCTGACCACCACTGCAACCGCCTTCGGGAAAGGGAGTAATGGCCAGCTGAGGAGGAGAGATGCGGCTCTCCTCGACCCTGCTGGTGGTCTCCCCCCTCTTCACCACCTCTATGGGATGGCTTAGCCTCGAAACCAGCTGGCTCGGGGCACTCCAGCGGCGAGCCCAGACAGAAACCGTGCACGATCATGGATTTCTGTCTGTCGCCGAAGCCCTTCAAACCGGAAGTGAGCCCCTTCTGTCTTGACTGCCTCCACAACTCATTGGAAGAAATATATTGTTTAAGTCAGGGGTGTCAAATTCAACTTCATTGAGGACCGCATCAGGATTGTGTTTGACCTCAGGGGGGTGGGTGGGCATGGCCAGGGTGGGCATGGCCAGCTTGACATCACTTGTATCAGGGGCATCTGTGGTGGCCTGAGTGCTCTGCCAGTGAAAACGGGCTCCCAATCTCTGTTTTCAGATGGGATGGCCTCCTGTAACCCTCTGCCAGTGAAAATGGAGCTTTGGATGTGGCCCTCCTGAGCTCCATTTTAACTGGCAGGGAGTTGCAGGAGGCCGTCCCAGACAAAAACAGAGCCCATTTTCAGAGGCACCATGGGCTGGTCCTTTGTTGTTTCCAGGGTGGCCCCATGGGCTAGATCTAAGCACCCTGTGGGCTGGATCTGGCCCATGGGCCTTGACTTTGACACCCCTGGTTTAAGTGCTCTACTCTTGAATTTTAAATACTATCTATTTTTCCCCCCACAGATGAACAAATGTGGAACACAAGCCCCAATCTGGCTATCCCTTCAATCAGATTCTCTCCCACGTCCTGGAGAGAGAAAGGCACTGACTGCCTGTGGAACCTGGCAATTCTTTTCTGGAAGCACCAAAGACTGTTGCCTCTTCCAAATCCCCATCTCAGTTAGACATTGTGGGAAGTTCCTTGTTTATCTCCTGCAACCTACTCAAGGGTGCATGGGCTATTGTGCAGAAGGTGAGTTTCATGAACTCCACATTTATGGGTTACACTGTATTCTATGTATTCCTTTTGCTACACATTGTTATTGCTGTACATACCTTGGTGACCTAGCAAGTCAAGCATTGCTTTTTGTAAGATGCATAGCATGCAGGTAATAAATCAGCAGCCGCCCAAAATGTTTTTACAGAATAGTTGTTTTATCTTTGGCAGATTTTAACGTGCAGTGTGTCACCAAGGAAAATTTACTGCAGTTACACTTTGTGTACAATTTTTTTTTTTGTTTTTTTGTTTCCACGTTCGGCTTAAAGGGAAAAAATATAATGTATTTGTATTTTTTTTAAGAAAGAAAGGGAATTGTAGATAGCAATTCCTCATTGAGTCTGGTACACCATTTAAAATCCATGACTTCTACAGAATAATACAAATGAGCCTTTCTTAGAAGAATCTGTAGCAATATGTGAATTTTGCAGGGCAATTTAAATCTCAAGGAATCCACACAAAGAAAATCTGGTTGTGGTAGATAGCTTTTTATTCCATATCCAGTCATCATCAAAAGCACTCTATTGGTAAATCTCTGCTACCTTCTTGTTGTGGACAGCTAGAGTATAATATTTATAAATGCATTTAGTTTCTTGCCAGATAACGTTTTTTCCCTTGATTGCCCTTTGTGCTTGAAACAGCCTCTTAGAACACTTGAGTGCTGCCACTTCTTTTTCAATTCAATTCTCTCCTCAAAAATGCCCTTTTCTGTCATGATTTTGGCATAATCTCCTAACTTCCATGCCTTCTGTAACTCACCTTCTTGACTTTGCAGCATGACTATCTCCTACCCTTTTCTGACTTTTCGGCATCAGATTTTATATTATAAGAAGGCAAGAAATTTTGTTTTTACATTTTGCAAAGCACATTTTGCAAAGCACAATATTAACATTAATAAGCTCACTGATCTCAATACTATTAAACTTCATGTTAACATTCCTTTATTAATTTCAATATTAGAAGCTGAGTTTTAAATCTTATCTCTAGTCCCAAAGTGTATTTATAACATGAAAACAGGTTATAATAAAAAAAGCCACATAAAATGCCCTAAGAACACTTTAAAATTTCCAGAAGAGTAGAGCTAATAAAATAATTAGAAGATTTTAAAAATGTTTTTACTGTCTGCATTACAAGGACCTTGGGCAGGCTTAATCTCTCTATCCAAATTATCAGATAATTGAAATGTTGCTACACAAAATACTTTCCTGCGTTTATATTGATATAGAAGATGTAATTTAGAATTTTGTGGTAAGAACCAGATGTTTGAATTGGGCCTGGAAACAAAATAAATATAGTACATTTTAAAAATTTACAACACAGGAGGCTAATGGAAAAGAGATCAAAACACAAACGACCCAGGAGATTAAAGCACAAGATCCAGGATATCTCCACAACAAAACTCACAACGCCATCACACAGCCCATTATACCAACATCAACTCCATCAACCAATCAAGAGGCAGCAACACAGCCAACCAGACCAGCACACCAGCTCCCTCCCACCAGTATTTATAGAGAGACGGCAGCTCCGATCACACACTGGCACGAAGCCAAAAGCACCAGCCTGAGGATGGCAAGTGGGAGTTCGCCGAAACGTCACCAAGATACTCTTAATCTTACATGGGAAAAGACACGAACACACCTAGACCTACATACCTGTACCCGTGAAAATCTACGAAAACAAATATATATATAAACCAATAGTCAGCTCCATAGGCTCACCTCTACAAAACCTAGCCAAATATCTCACCAAACAACTACAGCCCTATGCAGAATCCATCAACTCACACGTAAGAAACTCATTCCAGTTCATTGAGATCATAAAGAAACAAAATTTAAAGCCCAGCGACCTACTAGTGAGCTTTGATGTCATATCCCTCTTCACCCAAGTGCCTATAAAAGAAGCCTTGACAGCCATCCAAAACAAATACAATCCCCCCCAAGCACATCCTAGATCTGACCAACCACTGCCTATCCAATACATACTTCACCTACAACGGACAAAAATACAAACAAATAGAAGGAGCACCCATGGGATCACCCCTCTCACCTGTCATCGCAAACCTCTTCATGGAACACTTTGAAACACAAGCTCTAGAAAAATAAGATCACAAACCCAAACTCTGGCTCAGATACGTAGATGACACCTTCATAATCTGGCCACATGGGAAAGAAAAACTGAACAACTTCCTCACACACCTCAACAGCCTACACCCCAAAATACAATTCACCATGGAAACAGAAGCTAACAATGAACTTCCCTTCCTAGATGTCTTAGTATACAAAAAATCCAATGGCTCCCTAGGACACACCATCTACCAGAAGAAAACACATACAAACCGCTATCTACACTCTCACACCACCACCCAGCACAGATCAATTCCGTAGCCAAGACCCTCATCTCCAGAACAAAATGCTTAGCCAACGAACAACACCTAAAAACCGAACTACACACTCTCACTAATGTACTAACAGCCAATGGATTCCAAAGAAAGAAGATTACCCACCTAATCCAAAAAGAAACCCCAACCAAAATCCAAGACAGAGAACAAGAGAACGGCAAAGCCCTCCTCCCATATATAAAAGGCACTACAGACAAAATCAGCAAGATCCTCCAAAAACACAACATTAAGGCAGCATTCTGCACAAACAGAAAAATATCCACCATCCTAAGAAACCCTAAAGACAGAATCGAGTTAGAAAACCAAGGAGTATACAAAATCCCATGCACTGCCTACCCTACCACATACATCGGACAAACCAACAGAAGAATAAGTGCATGCATTGAAGAACACAAGAACTCAATCAAAAAAGAAGAACCGATCTCTTCCCTGGTCCAACACCTCAAAGCCACAGGACATGAGATTGACTTTAAAAATACCAGAACTATCGCCAAAACCAAACACTTCAACAACAGAATAATCAGAGAAGCCATAGAGATAGAAAAACACCCACACAGCATGAATACATGAGATGATACCTCCTGCCTACCAGCCATTTGGAAACCCACCCTCACTAACAAACGAGTACCTAACATGAAGAATGACACCAGACTCACACCCACAAGGGCCACACAAGATGCTACCACCACACCTCCATGTAGAAAGCAGACTCACACCCACACAGATGATGAGACACGACCACGGACCAGAAGCTGTAGTGCAGCTGCATCACTACCCGCTTCAAACCCCTCCGACCCATACATGAAGCAAATGGATGCCCACCATGAAGATGTGGCATGACCATGAACGCGAAGCCAAACAACAGGATCACAGCTCACCAGCTCAAATCCCCCGGCAACTAAGACTAACCTGAGCACAACCAAGCCCCCACCTGAACAGAACACACCCCCAGCCAATCAGAACACAGCCAACCCCCCAACCAATCAGAACATAGCAAAAACCCCAACCAATGAGAACACATCCCCACCCAATCAGAACACAGCCAAGCCCCCACCCAATCAAGTCACACCCCCACTAGCAGTTAAAAAGAAGAAACAGCTGCAAGCTCACATTACTCCAAGAAGCACAAAGCCGAAGACACAAGCCTAAAGATGACAAATGAGATTTCGTCGAAACGTTGCCAAGATACTTCCAATTTTACGCGGGAGAAAACCCGAATAACCAAAGATACACACACACACACACACACACACACACATATTCCACAAAAGCAAAATCACCGGCTTGATCCACAAAAACACACTGAGATGTAATGGAGACCTAGAAGATGAACAGACCTATGGAACAGCTGTCCTGCCCTACATAAGAGGTACTACAGACAAAATCAGTAAGATACTACACAGGCATCACATCAAGACTACCTTCAAAACAGACAGAAAAATAGCAGCCATCCTACGAAACCCCAAAGATAAAATTGACCTGGAAAACCAAGGCATATATGAAGTCCCCTGTGCATCATGCCCTGCCACATACTTTGGACAGACCAATAGAAGAATAAGTACCCACCTGGATGAACACAAAAATGCAGTAAAAAAGCTGGAACACACTTCCTCACTAGTCCAACACATGAAAGCCACAGGTCATAGCATCGACTTCAATGGCACCAAAACCCTAGCCACTATAGAAAACCCCAGGCACAGAATTATCAGAGAAGCCATAGAGATTGAAAAATGACCTGAAAGCATGAATAGAAGAGATGATTCCACCAGACTGTCAGTTATTTGGAAGCCTGCACTCACAAACAAAAAAATCTCCACACCACAAGCCAGGCAAACACCTGGGCACAAACAGATCCCCCCTGATACCTCCAGCTCAAACACACCCCAACCAGGTACCCAGATGAAACCTAGCTTCCTAACAAATGATAGCTGTCCATTTACTCGGAGCCAAGCTACACTAAAAGCCTCCAATACAGGAACACAATGTTGCCAGCCAATCAAGACAAAAAAAAAAGCCACAAAACAGACAGAAGATATTAGAAACACCAATCAAGCAGAACACAGCAAACTCCAAGACCAATAAACTCAGACCAAGACTCCCAACCAATCAGGATGAAGAAAAAAACATTCTGGCACAGCAGTAGGCTAGCCCCAAATTTAAAACTGAAACAACCGTAAAAGTCTGACTCACAGACGAACACAATACAGAAGCCTGATGATGGCAGATGAGATTCTGCCGAAACTTTGTGACAACTTTAAAAGCACAACTATAATGATGTGGGAAAATACCTAAACAAAGCTGAATAACATATATGGTATTCAGCTTTGTTCGGGTATTTTCCCACGTCATTGTAGTTGTGCTTTTAAAGTTGTAGCAACGTTTCGGCAGAATCTCATCTGCCATCATCAGGCTTCTGTATTGTGTTCGTCTGTGAGTCAGACTTTTACAGACTATATATATATATATATAACAAATCACTGAGACCAGACCTATCCCTCAATAGAGTCTATGACAACTTGCTGCAGCCAACTTGCCATGCCCAACTCTCCGTAGCCATGTCACCACAAGACATCTCACTGTAATCAAGTCACCACAGGACAACTTGCCACAGCCAATTCCATGCGGGACAAGAGCTACATAATAACAAAGAAATGGTGCGATATAATCATTAAAGAAAGGATGCAAAAGGAGGAACAAAATTAGATGTAAATTACAAAAATTAAAATAATTTTGAACTATTATAAATTATTAAATTGAATTGTTGAATTGTCCTGAGGTGAGTTGACAGTGGCGAGTTGTCCCATTCCTCTCCCAATATCTGAAAGATGGAGGGAGGGAGGGAGGCAGGGAGGGAGGAGGGATAGATAGATAGATAGATAGATAGATAGATAGATAGATAGATAGATAGATAGATAGATAGATAGATAGATAGATAGGATTGATTTTGCATAGTTATGTGTATATTTGCACATAAGTGGTTATGTTTGTTTACGAAATATATAATGCTGAAAAGACTTATTTCCCAAACTCCAGAAGAAGCAAGCCACTTCTGCGTTTCAAAACTGAAATGCTGAGGCACATATTTCTTACCTGAGAATCCGTGAAAACTATGAAAGCTGTTAGATCAATATGTCAAAATATGTCCAGTGAAGTATCAGAAAACTCTTAGCACTTGCTTCACCACTTCACAATTCCAAGTTAATTGATTTATTTCCTTCATTGCTGAAGAATCACAGCTCAACTCTTTTGATCCCAAAAGAACTGAATCAGAAGACATCATTCAAGGTAATTTAATAACATGAACTACATATAGTATATGAATTATCTTTTATCTGCAGAACCAATGAATGCATTGCTCCACATTCACATTGGTGATTGATTTCTTGCATATTTCCAAAGAAACTTTTGGAAATTAGGAAACCCATCCAAAGTTCATATGAGAATGCAAGTAAAAGTTAAACAAACAAACACTGGTTTATTATGCTTATTCTTATGCTTATTTGTAGCAAATATACAAACTTGGCAATCAATGTTTACCTATTGCCAGGGCTATTTGTAAGGTACTGGAGATCGGTTCGTACATTTGGGCATCAAGCCAGAGTATGGAGTCTATCTCTAAGGGGCATTGCAGTATATTGATTGATGCATTTGGCTGGCAATATCTTTTGCTTGGTTTGATGTGGAAGTTTTTATGATCATTTTAAAATTTGTTGATGTGTCACCCAGAGTTGTTTTCTAAACAAGGGGCTATATCTCTCTATATAAAAGCGAAATACCATTCACACATCATCACAAAATCTCTAGAACCATAAAGCCTACAAACTTGAAATTTGGCGTGTATCTTGGCTTCTAGATGCTCACTAAGAAAGGATTTTTCAAATGACCACCAGAGCATTAATATTTCGTATATTATTATTTAACATGCTCTGATGCTAAGGAATTCTACTCCCCCTCCCCACCTGAAAAGAAATCTGTTCCAAATGCAAAACACAAGCAGAGGAGAGGAGTTTCAGTTTTAGTTTCACAGCAGCAACCAGCTTTAGTACAGAACAGTTGAGCTAAACCACACCCAGGCTCCTTGCTGTCTCCTTCGTGCTCACACAGCAAATACTGTATCAGTTTCCAAACAGCCCTCAACTCTCTCACACACTGACAGGATGCTAGTCAGATAAATACCAATAGATGCTGGTAGGTAGAGGCACAATTCCTGCCCCCCCTCATTTTCCTCCCCGAAAACTAAGCTCGATCGCATAGTTTCATACTGAAGCACAGTTATCCAGCTAGTAAATAAATACTTTAAAAAGAAAACCAAGAATGCCAATAACACCATGTTTTATATCTAGTCATATAGTTGAATGGACAGAAATTTCTTTAATGGATTGGAGATGAAGGGTTTTTTTTTAAAAAAAAAAAAATTCTTCCTCATTTTCCATCCTTCGAGATTTGGTTATTATCATAGTTGAAGGACTTTCACGTATTATGATTTCTGATTCTTTGATGTTTGGGAATTAAGACCTAGTCAGGACCAAGAGAGCTGTAAGTACATCCCTGTTCTCTGCTGTTTTTACATGTAAAGAATTCATAAATATTTCTGAAACCTCAAAATCCTCGTGGCAGAAAAAAATTCACAGGCTATAAAAGGGTGTTCATCAAACTTTGGGGTACCACTTAATTATAGTCTTCATCCTTGGGCTAAGATAATTCAAATGTTGATGATGGGATCCCATGATTAGAAGTGCCAGAAGTTTTGTCAGTTTCAGAATCTCCTATAGATATGTTGACCTCCTGCCCTTGCGATTCAACTGAGTAGGGATATTTTTTTAGTGCTTCCCTGTTGATATTGATGGATTACTAAACAAACGGCTCTTTTGTTTGCAACCATTGGAAATGCTTTGCTAATCATTTCTTACTACCTTGTTGCTTAGATCTACTCAGTTTAGTTACAACTTGCAACTATTCAGTCTTCACTTGTCTGTAAAAATTGCATAGTGTAAACGTCTACAGAAATTCTGATTCATCTGGGTGGTTGTCCTAAAGGTGCTTTTATTTTAAAGGTAACTGGGCCTTCAGGTTTTTCTTTATGCTTTTTTTTCTTCTCATTCAGGAAGTTTCTTCAGTTCTCATAGTGTAGCATAGTATAAATGTATAATTTTCATTCAGAAAACATAAGGCTTTATATGTCTTCTTCAGTTCTATAGTACTGACTCGTTTATAATTTTAACTGTGTTGAATTTTTTTTAAACTCCTGTGCATTGTATGACAGTCTGCTTTTTCTTCCCACCTAGAGAAATTCCAGATTCCAGCTTTGCATCCAGTTGTTGCTCCTGAGCTTTTGGGGTCCCAGGTCTACCTAAAATGTACTTTCACCAGTCCAACTTCAAATTGGGCTACGGGCTATACAGTGATCTGGTCACGACTTTCTACATCCAATGTGAAAGAACAGCTTCATCACGACACAACTGTGCAGGCATTCTCCTATGTGGAGATGGATGGAATTAATTTCAGATTGGGAGATACGGTAAAGCTTTCTTGAACTCTGAAGACAAGGTCAAGAAAGATAATCGTTACGTAGTGCTTTTTTTTTTTTTTGTAATTCTTATTAACTCTCATATCTTGAGCCTGAATTTGGCCTAAAAGTAAAACATGGTGTTCAAAAAGCAATTTATTTATTTATTTGTTTGTTTGTTTATTATTTATTTATTTTATATTGCCACCTATTCACCCATGGTGACTCAAGATGACTTACACAATGTAAAAACATATTTAAAACAAAAAATTAAAAACAATAAAAACTAACAAAAAGAATCAAATAAATTAATAAAGTACAATCGAACAAAATCTGGAAAAAATAAAAAAATCATCCCCTAACTCCCACCCTCCGCTCTGACGATAGCAGATCACACTAGCCATTTGATGGGCTCCATTCCACTCTAGGTTCCCCAGGCCCATTGGCAAAACCAGGTCTTCAGTGCCTATTCTAATCTCTTCAGGGGCTATTCTAATCTCTGGGGGAATGATATTCCAGAGAGAAGGAGCCACTACAGAGAAGGCCCTTCTTCTGGGTCCCACCAGGTGTATCTCCCTCAGGGATGGGACCTGCAACATTTCCTGCCTCCCCTCTCTAATGGGTTGGGTACATGTGACTGGCAAGAGACGTTCCCTCAGATAATTTATTTTAACAGAATAGAATTGTGTACATTTTATTAAGTTTAGAACTATAAAGCAATCTAATTCATTTATCCAAAATATTTTTGTTGTACTGCATAGCATTATATCTTTTAAAACAGGCAATAGGAAATAATAGATCATATGTAGAATTAAAAATAATCTACCCTCTTAGAGCACTGTAATAACCAAAAAGCAGTTTGGTTAACCTGAGCCAAATACCTACAACACAATTATTTGTATTTAAGTGAAAGTAAAACTTAATAAAAACACTGGTTTTCTTTCTATTTCTAGTTGCCCGTAATTTCAGAGAACCAATTGGATTCCAGAAGTGGATCTCCAAATTTTTTTTTATTAACCCACATAATTGAGTCAATGATATAACACATCCCCTTTCTATGATTTTAAGATAAAACTGGCATTTTATTTTTATACATTTTTGTAAGGCTTACAAAATATTGCATGCAAAGCAATTTAATTCTGTAAAGCAAGATGTACATGTGTATACAAGTGAAGTAGGGGTTTGGGTGGTTTTTTTTTTTTTTTGCTGTCTTTTAATTTCTACCAACTATACTAAGATATGATTTATGTAATATCAGATTTGACAGGGTTTTGTGACATCCTACTTGACCTTCTTTAGTGATCAGCTAAGATCCATCCAAATCAGCTTTTCTGTGGTGGGTGCTGCAAATGAAGGCATCTGGAGTCACTGATTGTAACAGCCAATTTTGTATTTATTCAGTATAATTCTCAAGTACCTCCATACTTTTCTGTGCTATTTATTTCTCAAAAGCTGCAAAAAAAAAAAAAAAAGCCTGGGAGCTTAAAAATTAACATTCTGTTCCCATATGATTGACATGTCTGAACTATTTTCCATTCATTTAAATTTTTATTAGTAATATTGTTCACACCCAATATCAAGTATCCATCAAGAGATTCATCCCTTAACCAGAGTCACAGAGTTTAAACTTTTATTAGCATATCTCTAAATAGCCAATATCATTTCCCCATAATGTTTAAAAAAATCACACCTTCCTACAGTTACGCTATATCAGCTCGGTTGACAGCCAAATGCTAGCAAAACCACTGCAGCTTTAATAAATAAATCTGCAATGTGCTATTTTCCCTTGGGTAAATGCTCAAGATAGCCCATTTCATCTGATTTGAAATTGTAGCAATCCCAAGATCTATTTAGATGATATTGACAGAGGTCACTCTATACCTGGAGGGACAGCCATCTGTAAATTGCAGCCGGTAGTATGTGCACAGTAGGTAATAGTAAGAAAGCAGGATGTGCCAGAAAAAAACCTGGTCATTTTTTGCTCTGCACAGCAGTTTGGAGATTGTGCCATGAAATGGCGTATGCTTTAAAAAAGGCTTATGTAAAATTGTGTTTTAGTTTATCATTAGCATTGGGCATTTTGTTGAAGAGTTATAATATTTTCAATTATTGTGGCAACTCTTCCCCCACATACTGAAAAACAACAACTCCTTGAACAAACTTCCATAGTGATTTATCTCTGTAGATAGATTAGAAAGAAAGAAAAGTAATTACTTGAGATGCTTCTGCTATAAAAAAAAGAGAGAGAGAGGTTTCCCTTTCCCACACTTTAATTCTGTTAACTGCAGTACAATAATTTGTGATGTATTAAATATTGCTTTCGGAAAGAGTTTTGACTTTTTTAAAATGAATGTTCACAGTGAAATTCCATAACAAGGGATATGGATCGCTTGAATGAAAATAAGCCTTGAAACTACCCTATCTGAATCAAGCATAATATCCAATTCAAATTATTTTGACTTGCTGTAATCGTTATAGATAGCTCCATCTAAACCTTATTGTGCTAAAAATCCCTCTCCCTCTTCTGATATTCTTTTCAATAACAGAAATTATATAACATGGAGTACAATATTATTCTTCCCCCCCCACAACACACACACACACACACACACGCACACGCACACACACTCTTGAGTGTCTGAAAGAGAAGGCAAGAAAATATTGTTATCCCAAATTAAAATCTGGATGCCCTGAAGAAAATCTTTACCAGTTCCCTGAAGGATGAAGAGGTGGGTATATGTTGGTCCAGAATGAGGAGCAGCCACTGAGAATATCATTTTCTGCCACTCAACATGTGTGCAATGGATAACCTCAGAATCCCCTTTGTTCATTTATATAAGGCTGTCAGACCTCTACCTGCATATAAAATTGGGCAAGGGCCCAATTTTTATAGGGATTAATAGGCAAGCTTAAATAGTGTGAATTGGCCCCAAATTCTACTGGTTATCATCTCAATCAACTTTATCCCTTCTAGTCCCTCTCAGCCTCCTGGCAAAAATCATATCTGCTTGTCTTATGATATCAATATAAAACTAAGTACCGTGTTTCTCACAAAATAAGGCCGGGCCTTATTCTTTTTTGGGCCCCCCAAAAACGGCTAGGCCGTCTTTTCGGGGGTGACTTAATTCCCCCCCTTGCATCCTCGGGTGGGTGGGTGGTGGCAGCTTGGATGTTGACCTCGGCATTGGTGGGGCACTTTGTATCGGGAGACCTTCCGCCACCGTTGCTTTCCCTTCTCCCATGCTGCCATGGCGTTTAGAGCAATGCTGCAGTGTTTGGCGCAGCCACACGCAGGCAGCCAGGGCTCCTCCCTACAACTGGAGCCCAGCGGAGACACTCGGCTTCAGGTGCTCCTGTCGCTGCCTTCCCTTCGCCTTCGAAGGCAAAGCCAATTCTTTTAAAAACAATGCCCTACTACTGGTACGACAAAGCCTCCCCTGCCCGAGAGGTCAGCCCAACCCCACATGGCGAGGCAAATCTCCTGGGGCCACAGTGCAGGATCGGCCCACCCCAGGAGAAGCACCCAGCCACTATCTCTGCCTGGCGCTAGGCAAAACGCGAAGAGCTTCACCTGGGGTGCCCAGCACAGCTGACAGGCAGGCCCTCCTGCCCGGCGGTGGAGCTCTCGCCAAGGCAGCAAGTACCTCCCCACCAGGCCCTTCGCTCATCCCACCAGGGCTGCACCACATCCGTGTGGGCTAGGCAGAGCTGGGAAAGCGAGCCGCAGGTGCGCGCCCACCTGCCAAGCAAAAGAGCTGGGCCAACCCGAGCTTGGCTTCCTTCCCAAGTCCCTCCATCCTGAACCTGAAAGGCCACCGGGAGAGGCTGCCCAAGGCAGTGATAGTGCCCACCTGTCCATGGACAGGGAGGCGAGGCGATGGCAGCACTGCTTCCCTGGCTGGCGGGTCCAGCAGAGAGAGCCCGAAGTCGCCCATCCTTTCCACCCCTCGCCCAGCCCATCCCCATCCCCACGCATCTCCAAATGCATCAGCAGCTCCAAACGCTGTAGCGGTACGGGCATCGGGCAGGGGCGCTGACTCGGCAGGGCTCAGCTCGGAGGAGGACACGGTGCAGGCCGACACCGGTGCAGGCCGTCACCACTATCATTGCCTTGGGTGGCCTCTCCCAGTGGCCCCTTTGGGTTCAGGCTGGAGGGACTTGGGAAGGAAGCCAAGCTTGGGTCGGTCCAGCTCTTTCACTTGGCAGGCGGGCGCGCACCCGTGGCTCACTTTCCCGGCTCTGCCCAGCCCGCATGGCTCTGGCGCGGCCCTGGCAGGATGAATGGAGGGCCTGGTGGAGAGGCGCTCGCTGCCTTGGCGAGAGCTCTGCCGCTAGGCAGGAGAGCCCACCTGTCAGCTGTGCTGGGCGCCCCAGGTGAAGCTCTTTGCACTCTGCCTGATGCCAGGCAGGGATGGCGGCTGAGCGCTTCTCCCGGGGTGGGCCGATCCTGCACTGTGGCCGTGGGAAATTCGCCTCCCCACATGGGGTTGGGCTGCCCTCTTGGGCAGGGGAGGCTTTGTCGTACCGGTAGTAGGGCGTTGTTTTTAAAAGAATTGGCTTTGCCTTTGAAGGCGAAAGGAAGGCGGCGACAGGAGTGCCTGAAGCCGAGTGTCTCCGCTGGGCTCCAGTTGCAGGGAGGAGCCCTGGCTGGCCGTGCATGGCTGCTCCAAACGCCACGGCATCGCTCTAAATGCCACGGCAGCATGGGGAGAAGGGAAAGCAATGGTGGCGGAAGGTTTCCTGATACCAAGTGCCCCACCAATGCAGGCAGCACCATATCCGGGTATGCAACAAAAGTACTTCCTAACGGCAAGCCCCCCCGCCATTCCCCCCCATTTCACATGTTTAATATAGGCCTTAATTTGGGGGGAGGGGCTTAATTTGATTTTATGCCAATAAAACATGCTGGGACTTCCTTTTGGGGGAGGCCGTATTGTTGGAGAAACACTGTATCAGCAACATATGATTTCATTACATCAATCAGTGATCTCATGTACATGTTAAACTGTATCAGAGAGAGATTCAACCTCTGGGACACTCCACAATAGAGTGCTCATGGGTTCAACACCTTGTCTTCCAATAGCTAATCAGAACCCCTGGCTCAGGAAAGAGTAGAATTACTTGCAAAACTCTATTCACTCTACAATCCTTGCATACAGCTCAAGGAAGCCATAAATGATGGGTTCTGAATGCCCATAGAGGGGATACATCACCACCCTATTAGTCCTGCTACAGACCATCTACAAGAATGATTGATGCACTCTTAGTCCTTATGCCAGGCCTGAAATATAACTGAAGCGATGCATATAATTGATGACCTCCAAGACCCCCTGAAGGGCCTTCTCCAAATCCTTCTCTAGAAACTATAGGTGAAAAACTGGCTGATAACCATATAGGGTGATTGGATCAAGGAATAATATTTAAAGGACAGGAAACAGCAGCCTCAAGCACCCATAATTTTGTGCCTATATGGCCCTACATATCATCCAAAGAGGGCAAGGATATAATTTGCAGATGGGTCAGTGTCTCCCATATAGAACTCTGTATGTGACAGACAGAAAATTAGAGAAGAACCAGATTCTTATTCACTTTCTCCTATAATTTACCATGTTCCTCTTCCCATCTTATGTTTCTCTGTCAGTTGCTACCACAACTCTTCCCATGTATATGATGAACAACAATAATTAAAGGAACAGAAACCAAGTACTATAAGGAGAGCCTGGAGAAACTAGAAATATTTGTCTCTGGAAAGAAAAGAGAGAAGACCCAGGCAGTCTATATCACAATGTCAGAATTAAAATTCCACGTCAGAATGGTGGACATAGAAACTTGGGAGACAAATTCCAACTTGAATGTTCGAGGTGGGGGGAACCTTCATTAACAAGCATAGCACACTCCTCCCTGCAGCATGCAGAGGCTGAATATTTATCTGTTATGGATACTTAGTTTAGATTCCTGTCCTGACAGTTGGGCTTAATGGCTTAAACTGCTTTTTCCAATTATTATTCTAACAAATCATGTGAACTTGTCAAATTTATGTACAAGGGATTGCTGCCAAAAAAAAAAAACCAAAAAAAACAACAACCCACCACCACCCTAATAAGAATGCAATTCTATTTTTTTTCTATCAAGACCATACAACAAGGCAGACATAGAAAAATTAAATCTGCACATATTGCCAATTTCTCAAACTCCATCACAAAACAATTCTCCTGATGCCCATAGGTGTATTTCTTCCCCCCATCTCAGTAGGTGTGCTACGGTTCTGGATCTCAATAATACGTTTAGCTTAAATAAAGCAATCCCTTTTAATACTTTTAAAATTTAGGGATAAAAAGGATTTTATTTTGCCAAGAAGCTTTAGGGATAAAAATATTCATTCCCACAGTCAAAGTTGTCTTTACATAGCCTGTGGGGTATCTTTTTCATCCCCCCTTACTTTTGAAATGTGGGGGGAAACCTATGATTGCTTAGTTAAACACTAGGAACCAATATTTAGCTAAAGGCAAGAAACTTTTGAGAAAACATATCCAAGTAATTGTGTGGTACAATAGAATCAGAATTAGAATTCTTTTATTGGCCAAGTGTGATTGGACACACAAGGAATTTGTCTTGGTGCAAATGTTCTCCGTATACACAAAAGACAAGATACATTCGTCAAGAGTCAAGAATCATAAGATACAATACTGAATGATAGTCATAGGGTACAATAAGCAATCAAATCATACTAGGAAACAGTCCATATAAATCGTAAGGATACAAGTCATACAATCACAAGTGGGAGGGGATGGGTAATAAGGAGTGATGAAAAGGTTAATAGTAATAGTAGTGCAGACTTTGTAAATAGTTGGACAGCGTTGAGGGAATTATTTGGTTAGCAGAATGATGGCTTTCAGGGAAAAAACTGTCCTTGTGTCTAGTTGTTCTGGTGTTCGGTGCTTTATAGCGTCGTTTTGAGGGAAGGAGTTGAAACAGTTTATGTCCAGAATGTGAGGGGTCTGTAAATATTTTCACAGCCCTCTTTTTGACTCTTGCAGTATACAGGTCTTCGATTGAAGGTAAGTGGGTAGTAATTGTTTTTTCTGCAATCCTAATTATCCTCTGAAGAGGTGCAGATGACAGGCTCAATAATTCCTCTGTAGAACTGTACCAGCAGTTCCTTGGGCACTTTGAGCTTTCTGAGTTGGCGCAGAAAGAACATTCTTTGTTGTGCTTTTTTGACTATAGACCAGTGACTAAAATGTATGTCTATCTATTGGGAGTGGGAGGGGGAGAGGGAGGAGGAGGAGGAGGAGATCTAAATTTACAAAAGAAGAAAATTCACACATAGAAATACAATGCAATGCAGTATTTCATAATCTGTGCAGCTTTTAGAGGTAAAAATTTCAGTTCCCAGAATTTGCCAGACAGCCAAGCCTCTTGGTGAGAATTTGTAGAAATTAATCTAAAAATCTCTACAGAAACAAATAAGAGATGCTAGAGAACTCTGTTACAAGTAGTAATCTGTTCAAAGTTACAAGAGTGCTGAAGAAGACTTATAATCAAGTGTTGCATTTATGATCATTGTAGTATCGATGTAGTCACATGATCATAATTTGGGCACGTGGCAATGGGCATATATTTTGGGTGGTTGCAGCATCCTCAGTTCACGTGATCACTATTTGTGACTTTCCCCTCAGCTTCCAACAAGCAATGTCACTGGCACCAATGGCAATCATGTGATGTCCCTTTTAACAATCACAGTGATTTGCTTAATGGCAGCAAAAAAAGGTTGCAAAATTGGATGTCACTTAATAACTGCATCGCTTAATGCTGAATAAGCAAGGAATCAGATTTGGTTTCCAAGGAGCAAGGTCCAGGAACATCAGATTCTAATAATGATTCATATCCTGAATAGCCTATATACATTTTGGCCTTGTTTTATAAAAGAAAAAAGCCTACAATCAGTGAGTGTGAGCAGGGTTTTTTTTTCAAGAAAGGTGTGTTGGCTAAATTTTGACAGAGAAATTGGGGAGAACAGGTGTTTTGTTGCCTCATTGGAGAAAAGACATGTATCACTATTATTCAAGCATATATAATTAGCTTGAACTGTATTGATTTATGAGGCAAATAACTTCTAATGATCAAAGTTTAACTTATGGTATAAACACATAATCCAAGAAAGAAGGCAGTGCACTTTTGAAAAGGCCATATGTTATTTTATGTACAACATTGATATTCTGTATTCCTGGTACAACAATGTTAAAAATATACCATATTTGATTGGCTTCTTCCTCCCCAGGACCAAAAGGCCACTCTATACTTACCTCAAAGATACTTAAATCTTTGCACTTTGAGTTATAGATTTTTTTTGCAATTGGTTTGCAACTTTCTTTTTGGCTATCTAGCCAAAAACATTGTTATTCAAACATGTTACATCCAAAGTTTGAAATCAAATCCAGTAGGTCTTTGACCACCCATGTATTGATCCAAATGTGGCGCAAAAGGGCAGTTTAAAAGAAAAATAATAACAAATATAGTGCTGTTCAGCTTTGGCGATTCTAGACAATTTGGAAGCATTGAAAAATAATATTATCAATCCAGCAATCATAAAATCAGCAGCATAAAACCTGTAACAAAACCTGGGTTAAAAAAACCTCATAAACTATAATGATCTTAGCGCCAATGGTAATATTTGTTCAGAAATACAGCATATCTGTAGCAGCACCTGCAAAAAAATGCCCTGTTGATGACCTAAGAGCATAGGGAAATTATATGGGAATAGATGACCTTGAGAATGTCAATCTAACTCTCTTTATTGATTCCACTACTACATAATCCATTCCCTATATCTGAGCCCCGTAACATTGTGCTCTTCAGTTCTATTTTTCTGAAAAGCAATGCACAGAAGCATCAGGGATGTGGGGGTGTGGAAATATAGCCGATATTGTAAGGATTTTTTTTGGTTACCATATGCTTAAAATGATAAAGCAGGGCTGCAGCTTAAAAAAATGTTGCACAACTGTTTCACCCAATCTTACACATATTGACAGATGCCCTACAGTAGTTCTGAAGGTCAAAGACTTCTCTAGCATTCTGTGCATTTTGAACTGGCTTGGCAACAGCTTTTAGCAACCTTAAAAGCCACCTATAGATATTTGTTTGAACACATTTCACTGTTAGTTTTTAGTGCTTGGAGGGCCACCCTTGTGAGTTCTCAGTTTGACAGAGAAGGGCGCTGGCTACCTTTTTGTGAAGGAGGTCTACAATTGGTGAGGATAAAGAGCAGCAAAATAAGTTTTTATGAAGTGTAATCCAACAATCGCTTAGTACATTTTCCATCATTTTTCATGAGCCTGTCATTAAAAAAAAGAGGCAAAAAGATTTTGAAATAGTTTGGCTTATTTATTGCAGGTCTTTTGCACTGTCACAGTTTTTAGGTGGGACTCACCTGATCACCACACTCTCCCTGAGGAAAGCGATGGATTCTATGCTGGAATCAAGGTAACCACAAAACATCTAATTTCATAAACTTCTCTAGCATAGCCTTGATGGAGATTTCTATATTAGCCATTTTGTTTCGCAAGACAACACACCATAAAATTGGCTTTAGTGATTATAGGAAGGGTGCTTCTAGGTGCTGAAGCAGAAAATGCTTGAATAAATTGCCTGCCATTCTATCAATCATTCTATCAGTCTTTTAAAAACACTAACAGCTGCAGCATTTGAGGTAGAAAAAAATGTATTAGAAAATCCTCCCATGTTTATTCACCTGAATAAACCTATGGTGCTATATGTATAATCCTGTGCAAATAAATAAATTGTTATCGTAATATTTGGCTATAAGGACAGATTCGCACTGTACAATATAAACTATGTCTTTAATGTGACCATATTTATGAGGTCCAGCACAGTGGTGGGATTCAAATTTTTTTTTACTACTGGTTCTGTGGGCGTGGCATGATGGGCATGGTGTGGCATGGCTGGCATGGCAGGGAAAGGATACTGTAAAATCTCCATTCTCTCCCCACTCCAGGGGAAGGATACTATAAAATCCCCATTCTCTCCCCACCCCACTAACCTGCTTTCCAGCTCTGTTATCCTGTGCAGGGCAACAAAAGAAGACCCAGCTGATCAGCCGGGTCTCAGGAGGCAGAGAATAGACAGGGGCAGGACCAGTCAGAGGTGGTATTCCAAACTACTCAAAATTTCCACGACCGGTTCTCCAAACTACTCAAAATTTCTGCTACCGTTTCTCCAGAACTAGTCAGAACCTGTTGAATATCACCTCTGGTCCAGCATGGGATTAACATTCAAATATTTTGAATTTTCTGAAAAGCACGATTCTTTTTACAAAAATAAGGGTCAAATTCTCTTTTATATTAAGGACTCTATTGTACATCACCTAGCTCATGTGCAATTTGTAAGCCCTTCTTTTGTGCCCTTCTTCGTGAAATGTCCTGAGAGCCAGTTTGGCATAGTGGTAAGGTGCTCGCTTAAAAGCCAGGAGATGGTGAATTCTAGCTCCATTTTAGACATGAAAACTGATCGGCTGACTTTGGACCAGTCACTCAGCCCAGCTTACCTCAGAGGGTGGTTGTTGTGGGGAAAATAGGAGAAGGAGGAGTGTTGTGTAGGTTTGCCACCTTGAATTACTTCTAAAGTAATAAAAACGGGTTAAAAATCTGATAAATAAAATTTCAACAGCACATTGATAAAACATTCTAAAATAGAAAATGAGTGAAAGTAGTAATTTTAATTGGATAAACATTTTTTAAAAGTCTCCCACCTTTTAATGTATTTTAAACCCAACATTTTTACAGAATAATTGCTGTGCTGTATAATCATCTTTGTGATTATGCCTTTGATAGGGACTTACTGGTAATAGTATAATCATAGCTTTGGCTAATGTGGCATTATTTATATCGGTAAAATTATTTTCTTCCCCTGATAAAATGCAATAATATGCTCAAACATCATAGATGGGTGAAATCTTTTGTTTACCTTCTAGTTTTAACCAGAAGTGCCTTGAAAATGTTTTGAAGTACAGTTATGCTCTACATTTGGGGTGAATTATTCTTGGTCATATACCGAGTTTCTTATTTCTTTTCCATTTCCACAGTTTTCCCCCTATGTTTAAATATTGTCAGCAAGTAAAAAATTTCTTCTCATCTATTGGATGAGGAAGAAAGTGAATAAAAGCTGTCTTCTGAACTTTCCCCGTTTCATTGTCTTATGATTAGAGGCATGAAATATAACAGTTTTAAAATCATTTTACCTTAACATCTTTAAAATTAATGTTTATATCTGTGTTAGAGGGAAAGGTGGGTATCATTATTTTGAATTATAGTTGCCCATATTTATTAGCTATGTATCAACAACTAGATATCTTTATTTACTTCCACATTAAGATTAGAACGGGATAGCAAATATAGAATGGTAGAAGTCAGTTACACTGTTGTCAACATAACCTTGATTCAGAATACATCAGTTATAGTTTGGTTTTGTAAATAATGAACAAACCAGAAAGGCATAAAACATTAAAAGACAGACTAGCTAGGAATCTAAAGGATTGTGGTGCAGTCCTTAGCTACAAAATTGAGAAAATGTTGGCTTTTCCACATACTGCTAGACTTGATCACTCAGTAACTGTAGCCAAGATCACTGATGATCAGTGATTAGAGTTGGAATCCAAAGAACCAGATTCTTTATTCTGTCCTAACATCCCCAGTAAAAGAGAAACATGCCAGGGAAGAACGAGAAAGAGAAAAAAAAATTGACACTTTAATCAATAGATAATTTTAATCAGGTGGCTTGATGAATGGTCAGATCGCCATATTCATGTTCATGTAAATTGCTCTTCCATTCATTTCAACATTCAAAGTAGAATAACAGACAAGCAACATGACCAGCTAATTATTATAATATACACTCCAGCACATTTTAATTAACTTTTTTTCTTCACTACTAGCACTACAGTGCACTATACCAATCGGTTCCATGCTGTTAGTTAATAGAATTTTTCAAAGGTTTTTCTCCCCTTTCTGCAGCAGAAAAAAGGAACAATTACCCAACTATACCTGAAAATTATTTTGTAATTACTAAAGATGTTCAAAAGCAAAAGGTAATGTTTGGAAATTAAGTCAATGTCTATTTAATAAGCAGTTACAGTGGCTAATTTGACTGAATGGTTTAGAGCTTAGCAGAAATCTCAGGGAGCCACCAAAATAACAATTTCACCTCATCTTGCGAGGGCACTGATCCAAAATCTTGTTAACTTGCCAGTGTATTAGTAAGAGCAAGCAAGAGGGGAAAGGTAGAAAGCAAAAGGACAACAAACCTTTTCCCAGTGAAAATTGGTATTCTTGAAGACAAAGAAAATGAGAGGCTTAGTAAAAAAGAATCCTTAATTAAAGAATTCTTTAATCTGTAATGTGTGTGTGTGTGTGAGAGAGAGAGAGTGAGTGAGTGAGTGTCTGTGTGTGTGTTTGTGTGTGTGTGTGTGTATTTGGGACATTTTATCTAAAGTCATATAATATGACTTTATATAATCTGTTTTTGAGGAATAGATTTTATTTAAAAATAAAATTATTTAAAAAAATATTTTTAAAAATCCATGGAATATGTTTGATTCTGATACATTAACATTGCCTGGGAGAAAGGTTGCTAATTTTAACTCTTATTCAGTTTAGTTTAATTTTCTTCCCTCCCACCCTTTCTGGTCTTATATTTGTTTTTGTCTCAAGTCCTTTCTCATTTTCATAAATAAAACTAAAATTTTCTCTAACAATGCAACAAAAAATCCTCAGTGAGAAATCACTGGGAAATTTATATAGCTAACCATTTACCAAAACAAACTCTGGGAAGTATACAGAATAAAAGCATAATACACTAAAAAGAACATTTTTTTAAAGAAAGTATTTAATCTTCAGACTTTTTACAGCCAAATGATCATCAATTGGGGAATAGATTATTTTATTTTTAGGTACTAAGGCTGACCTTAGTATGGTTAAACTGATGTTCTTAGGATGCTCTTAGAATTACTCTTAGGGGCCCCTGTATGTTTCTGGCTAGGCTATCTTTCTTCATGGTCTCAAAGGTCTGCTTCCCAGTCAAAAAAAATTAAAGGTTCATCTTTAAAAAAGAAGCCATTTCTCACGAGAAGAGATTAGGTGTTGATATGAGTTTAATCTAAGATTGATAACCTGTCTTTATTTCCAGTTTGTACCAGAATCTTTAAAAATTGCAGAAGATGGAAAGGAACATATTTTGACAATCTTAAGTACCATTCCTATTACATGTTTGGCCGAGGATGACATCTGTAAAATTACTTTACAGTTAAGCACTCAGATTTCTGGTAAGTACCTTATGTCAAGTATAACCTGCCACATTTTCCCCCCACTTTTCTTGAAATCACCATACCTGTAATGAATCTAGAAGCAGAGAGATGGTAAAATGCTCAGAAGTAAAATATCATTCCAATCATTACACACACATACACACGCGTGCACACACGCACGCATGCGCACACACACACACACACACACACACAAACACACAAAGAGAGATAAAGCATACCTATATAGATTTTCTGTTTTATGGCTCATATCCATTTTCCTTAATTATTGTGATGTAATAAATACTAACTTAGCCAACCTAGCAGTTCGAAAGCATGTAAAAATGCAAAGAGAAAAAGAGGGACCACTTTGGGGGGAAGGTAACAGCGTTCTGTGCGCCTTCGGTGCTTAGTCATGCTGGCCACATGACCATGGAGACGTCTTCGGACAGTGCTGGCTCTTCGGCTTTGTAACGGAGATGAGCACTGCCCCCTAGAGCCGGAAACTACTAGCACATATGTGCGAAGGGAACCTTTACCTTTATCTTAATAAATAATGAGCACAGGTGTAAGAACATACAGAGTTTGTCCTCACTGGCTATGCCTGAAGATAAATGGCCTTTATCTGTGCCTCTCACTCTATTTGCCTCTTTTTGCCCTTTAACACTGGAAAGAACCAGCCTCAGAGACTGGAAAGAGGGAGGTGGAAGAAGTTTTCACTCTTTTTGCTCTAAGAGTGAGGCAACTGAAGAATCCACTGTTTCCTGGGACGTCCATCCAATGGATGGGGCTAAAAGTCATGGATGCAGAACTATGGGATATAGCCCTGGATATCTCCTTTATATAAGAAGCCATACAATCCTATTTTTAAATGTTAATGTTTTCATGTCTTGAAATACTTTATTATTTTACTTGGTAAACTGTATTATGAATCCTTGGGAACCTCTATTTGGCATGTGGGTAGACATAGATATTTTTAAATAGATAAACTAACATTGCTGAGACTATGTTTGGTTTTTATTGCTGTTTTTCTATTCCTGCATAATAGTCTGTTTCTGTTTCAAAATAATTGCATAATAATTATTTTTATCACATAGAGAAGACCATTCAACATCATTTATCTAAGAGAAAAATAAAACTAGTAAATTCTCAACAGTGTTATAAATTTATCCAGTATGTTTTTGTGCTTCTTTAAGATAACTTGTTAGGAAGGACACCGAACATAGCCCTTTCAACATGCCATGTGGATTTGGAACAAAGGCCCTGCAGAGAAAACAGCTGTGGAAAAGCAACTCTTGCTGTAAGAGCTGTGAATGACTTTGTAGAAAATGGAAACCTTATCAGTTATATCACAGCCAAGCCAGTTCAGCCAAGTAAATCTCTGTGGCATGATTATAAGCCCATGGATGTCAAGGTAGGTTAAAGCAACAACCAAGAAGTTTAAATAACATGTTTAAAAAAAAAAACACAGAGCACTGCTTCACTGCTTTATTTATGTTTACCTTTATTATTCTTTTGTTCTTTCCAAAGTTGGAAACTAATCAGTCTTTTAAAAGATTAATAAACCAATTCTAACAGATATTTTTTTAAATGTACTGAATAACCCCAGAAGTCAGGTTCTTTATCATTAGAAAAAGCATCATTTTTGAGAAAGAAATAATTCTTATATGAGGGTTGGATTTCAGTAATTTATATTTGCTTCAGTTTTGTTCTGCTTGAATTCAATTACATTGGATCAGGCTGCCAATATTTCACATGCTTCAGTCGTCATATGTTCATTTGTTTCTGAAAAAGGAACTGTTGAATTGTTCCATATTTTCAAATATATCAAAATTAAAGTCCCTCTTGTACCTGAATAAAGTTCAGAAGAAATGCAGCAAAATAAATAATTATATTTGAAAATAATTAGGCCTGGTATCAATAATTGCCTATACTCCTTGTGTTATGCAAAAGGTTTCATGACTGTAAACCAAACCAAGCAATTTTGTTATTCATCAGAGATTTGATTTGTTTTAGTCACAAATAAAGAATACATTTTTATGAATCATGATATAACATAACCTGAGAGAAAATCTCATCTTAATGAATGTGCAAATCAGTATTTAGGATATCATCTATATTAGGAATTCTGTTTGTTCTGTATCACTAGCCATCCCTTCCTGACCTTTCAAAATCTCCTCAAGAAAGTCACCCAGATCTTTCAGGACAAAGGGGAAATCCTTGTAGGGAGTGTTTTCAGTTCTACCAGTAAATGAAAAGCTTCCATACTCTTACTTATACCAGATTCCATCTTATCTGAGGTTACATACGTACATGCATACATATATACATACATACAAAATACATATGATACTGTTGTCTTCTGAGGTAAGAAGTGTTCTCCAGAATGCAAAATAGGAGTAAGAATTGTAAGTTAAGAAATTAAAGGCACAAGGAAAGAACAAATAAGGGAAATACAGCTAAATCTTGGGATCTCATTAGTTCCATATTAACTCCATCCAACCATAACTTTTGGAAGTCCCCTTCCTCTTGACCCATTCCTTCTCCTCCACCTCCTCCTCTTCCTTCCCAAACTTTCTCAAACTATGCATTTATATATCCAATTCCTAGACCATCTAACTGCAAAAGCAACTCATACGTTTTTTGTGACTTCACAAAATTAAAAACTGGAAAAAACAATCAACCTGAAGTAACAATATAAAAACATCTTTCATATTATCTTCGGCCTAGAATCCTTATCTCAAGGCCTGCAGGAATCACCATGATTTTTTTTACAGCTGTCTTAAAGGTTAGTATGGTGAAGTCCAAACCAATCTCCAGGGGGATGCTGTTCCAGAAGGCAGATATTACAACAAAGAAGGCCCACTTCCTTGCTCCTGCTACATGACAATGCTTAATTTATGAGACACAAAGCAAGCCAACTCTGACTGATTGCACAGGTCAGGTAGATGCTATAGGAGACAGATGGTCCCTCATATCATTAGGACCTATGGCATGCAGGACTCTAATGCTTTGAATTAGATTTAGAGGTTTACCAATAATCAGTGCAAGCCATAAAACAAAGCATTATATACTTCATCACTACTTCTTAAATGCAGATTCCAAAAATAAGTAATTGAAATTCTAATAATAACCACAATCTAGGATATCTGTACTATGTTAAATCTGATTTGAATTCACATATAATTAAATGCAATCCAAATCTGGTGAGTCAATATTAAGAGCAATACTGGAATTTTACCTCAAAATCATATGAATTCCATTTCTTATTTTAACTAGGTCACAGTTCAAGACCTCCCTACAGGTTACTGCTACTCTTTCACAGATCCACACATAATCACATTTGATGGATGGCAAGTATTTTTTCAAGAAATTATGTAGATTCTCTATAGTAGTTGATTTTTATTTTAAATCAATTTGATTCTTTGATATATGAATATTCCTTTGCCCAGTGTTTTACCAAATCCAAAAAAGAAGAAGAAATGTTTGTAAAAACCAAGAGGAAACTAATCAATAAATTATTTTGAAAGTAAAATATTTCTAAAACAAAAATCATATTAGCAATTTGTATGGAAGTTGGTTCAAAATGATAGAAATAAAAACCTTTTTCATAGCTCAGAATGAGTTTGGATTAACTTGTAGATCTTACAAGGTTGGTTATTATTCACCAAAGATACTGTTTCAGCATCGATTTTGCTTTCTGCAACTTCTTCCTTGATGTTGTCATTTTGATTGTTTAGGCATTACAATAACTACATGGTTGGAACTTTTGTCTTGTACAAGAGCCTTAGCCGTCTGTTTGAGGTGCATGTACGTCAGTGGGACTGTGCCAGCCACCATATTGCCATCGCCTGTAACTGTGGTGTTGTTGCACTGGAAGAGAATGATATTGTTGTTGTTGACATGTGCAACAGGCAATTTCTGGAAACCAAGTCTCAGGTGATAATACAAAACATCAGAGCCTCATCACAACAAAATGTCAAAATCATGAAGTCCTATGGAGGAAAAAAAATCACTGTATGTATATCGCCTTTATTTGCTTTATTTGCTACTGATGGAGAACAAAATGTGTAAATGGAAATCAAAGAATGGTGTGACATTAAAAGCATCATTAGTGATATAGTTCTAGAATTCTTTGTTTAGACGATCGATCACTTACTATTAGGAATCTTAAACAATGCAGACTGAAGTTAATTCTGCATACCAATGATGGGTTATAGACTTGAATATTACTGTTATGGTCAGAAGACTGGCTTGAATTGTTTCATCAGTCAAAAATGTATGTAATAATATTAAGCCATTCTATGCTTCATTCGGGTAGTCAAAAATGGAAGAACTAGACTGGAAAAAAATCTAAACATTTGGATATACATTGGGGTACTACTACTGCATAAACCAGGGGTATCAAACTCAAGGCCCAGGGGCTGGATTTGGCCCGCAGGATGCTTAGATTTGGCCCACGAGGCTGCCCTGGAAATTGTGAAGGACCGATCCACAGTGCCTCTGCCAGTGAAAACTGAGCTTGTGAGGTCTGTGTGTGGCCCTCCCAAGCTCTGTTTTCACTGGTAGAGAGTTGCAGAACAGTGTCCCAGCCAAAAATGGAGCTTGGGAGCCTGTTTTTTCTGATAGAGTGCTCGGGCCACCACAGGCACCCCCCCACACACACACAAGTGATGTCATGTTGGCCATGCCAACCCTAGCCACACCCACCTTGCCCCCCCCCAAGGTAAAACACAACCCTGATGTGACTGACAATGAAATCGAGTTTGACATCCCTGGTATAGACATTCTTTAGCCCAGAGAACTGGATCCTAGGAGTATAATCTGCAGAGCTTTCATTTCTGCTGGCTAGTAAGAAAGGCAGGGAAGGTATCTTTGTTTATTTTCACTTTTAGTAGAGAAAGGGTTATTTAATTATTTGAGTGTGGGGGGGTAGTATTGTTTTTTATTCTTTATATTAACCAGAGTCACTGAAAATGACTATGCGGCCATATCAATACGATAGATAGATAGATAGATAGATAGATAGATAGATAGATAGATAGATAGATAGATAGATAGATAGATAGATAGATAGATAGAT